TTGTATATGTTCCGGGTAGTCACCAGGCCATAGCAAGTTTTGTGCAGAAATTGGCACATGCTCCCTACCAGATACATAGGATGTATGAGTGGGTTCTGTTGGCTTGCTACATGTAGTCTGTGGCCGATGTTTGGGGGATTTTCTATAGCTTTCAGTCGATAGAACATTGGAAGGAGGTTGGCTAACAATGGGTTTACGTAGTGGATGAGCAGAATAATACCTACTACCTTGCTGTGCTGTTTGTCTAGAATTAGTGGTAGGATATAACTGACTTTCCACTTGACACCAACTAGGCCTACCTCTAGGAGCTAGGTCTACCATATTTGACTTTCTCTTAGGATGATGGCTCAGAGATGCTTTCGTCTCTATCATATCAAAGGGCTTTCTTACTCCGGGTTCAGTATTTAATTTACTTACTTCTTTTTCCCTTTTCTTATGATCAACTGGTTGATGATGGCTAACAGGGCAGCCAGCACATGCTATGTAGCGATTCTGTTGCTTGGACACCTCATGCGCTTTAGTTTTCTTAATGGAAATGGGACGTTTGTCATAACGCCTAGAAAACTTGCTAACTTGGGTAGCTATGTTCGGTATCACAACAAGAAAAAGGTGTCTAGACAATATTCTTGTCAAATTTGTTAGCAGCAGTAAGTGATTAAGTTGCTACAGTATTATTTAAATGGATCTGCAAAGTATGTTTCACTTTAGCGAATCCAGAACCTAATTCGAGCAGTATAGAAAGCCGTACTGGTGGACAGTGACATTTTTTCCAGTAACTCCACAGTCATCATACACTCTCTATGATGATTAACGTACTAAAACTAAGGCAGGAACATCAGGCATCTCATGGAGCCAATGGTTGTGTTCAAGTGGGGCAGTAAATGTAGCGAGATAATATGAACACGTTTTTATCATTTCGTAGACTATTTTCAACTGTACAAAGCAACAGAAGTATAAGGGCATACGTTTTTCATGTTGGCTGCAGGTTTTAGAGGTAATGACGGTAATACCGGTGAATACAACGACATATTTCGAGATACGACAATGACACCTGCCACACCTTATTTTCACATGGGAAATGATCACGTGCTTATGAAGGGACATTTATCAATGTTTCTCAGTGAAATCAAGGTGAAACGTACTTCGGATTCACAATCAGTGGAACAGGGTCATTAATTTTTCCATAGCATATTCATCAAGATGGAATCCCAGCCTAAAACGGAAACTGTGCTATGGTAAGGATCACTACGGCTTTCTGAAAAGGAATATATAATATTATTTAAATATTTTCACATGTAACAGCAGTATGTTTAATACACGATTCATGAGTATTTGTTTTCAAATTTATGATGTTTATCAGTTTAAAAGCCAAATTTTCAAACAGGTCAAACATTATTGCTTTTTGTTAGCAACTGTCAAAACCCCTGACAGTTCCGTTTCGACAACCTTATGCAATAAAATGAGTTTGAATAAAAATAAACATACTCAAGAGGATTCAACTCCACAACAAAACTATTACACAAATAAGCTACAGCCTGCCACAAAGCAAAGTTAAAATTTAAAAACTAAGGACCAGGAGCCTTCACCTCACGCCTGAGAAGCGAGAATAAAGACATGAAATCTATTTACATTAGCCTGGAGAAAGAAACGAAATTGGATAATAGAACTGACAAAAAGAATACCTAAGTTAGGACTTCATGCTTTCTTTCGTGTTTAAGGCAGAGATTAATTGATATCTGTCGGTTTGTCACAAATGACTATTATGTCATCTACATATCTTTTATAAAAATAAGTTTTTCCAATTTCTTTATCCACTAGGTTCTCGACATGCGACATATATATATCAGCTAACAATGGACATAGGGGGCTTCCCATGGCAACACCATCGATCTGGCAATAATGCTCACCCTCGAATGTAAACTTAACATTCTTAGTACAAAGAAGCAGTAACTCTTTTAAGTAGGAAATGGATACTGGTAATAGGAAATCATTGTCAGAGATGTATGTATGTATTGAAAATCCGAATTTTGTTGTTGAGTGATGAAGCTTTGCAGATTCATGTGTCTAGTACTTTTCCGACAACACCCAACACACATCTTCATCATTATCAACATAAACCGCTGATAAAAGCATAAAAGATACGACAATCCTCATTAAAATTTTTGTATTTCATTAGCATCCATTAAAGTACACATTCTCACTCTCACACGCACACACACATTCACATATAATAAATTATAGACATGGCATCGTTTTCATCAGGGCAGAAACAGAAACACACACACACATCATAAAAAGTTTTTTCGCTAAGCAACAACACGCCTAGATAAAATCAAGTTTCAACTATTCCACACGCATTATGGGTATTTACAAACTGCACATTTTTATAAGAGATAGATAGATAGCAACAGCACACACAGAAATATATATATGAATACTCATTGTCCTGAAAATCCTTGAGAAAATTTTCCTTGCCCAAATGGTGGTACACCACCACAAGCACCAGCACCTGCAGGTGGTGGTGGATACATTGGTCGGTTATTAAAGGCATTTTGTCGCATTGAATTTATTGGAAAGGAAGTATAAGGTGAACATGACATCTGTTGCTGCTGTTGTTGTTGCTGTAAAGACACCTGAGGAGTGGTGGACCATTGCTGTAAATGCATGCCCCCTCCAGTGTTGTCGTTATTCATTGCCGGCATTCTACCAACACCGCCACCAACAGCTCCTGCGCCTCCGCCTGATAGTACACCTCTTAATGGATTGAATGCAGATTCCATTGGTAGTCCTGTACGTTGTTGTTGGTGTTGTTGTTGAGGGAGACATAGTGGAGGAAAGGGAAATGTCGGTAGAGATGAACGTACTGCCATGTAAGAAGACTTCCCAAACATTTGCATATTGTAAGCGTTTGATGATGATGATGCTGCTAGATGACAATTTTCATTTCTCTGAATATGAGGTAGTAAATTTGACTGAACCAATGGTCCTTAAATAAATAAGGGGGGAAAAAAGGAGTAAATGAATTTCAAACCACACAAAGTGTGAAATAATAATTAATTAACATTAATAATAATAATAATAGTAATAATAATAATAATTATTATTATTATTGTTCCCTTGGGTTCCTAGTGGAACATAGGGCTTCAACTGCACGTCTCCATTTGCTTCTGTCTTGTGCTGTACTTTTCACTTGCGTCCATGTTATTCCATACTGTTTCATCTCCTCCTCACACGATCTCCTCCACGTCACCCTTGGACGTCCCACTCGCCGCTTCCCTTTCGGGTTCCACTCGAGGGCCTGACGCGCGATGTCACTCAACGGCCTCCTCAGCGAGTGTCCAATCCATCTCCATTTCCTCCTGCATATTTGTTGGGCGATTGGTTCCTGTTTCGTTTGTTCCCATAGCTTCTTGTTTGTGATTCTTTCTGGCCATCTAATCTTCAGTATGGAGCGAAGACAGTTGTTGATAAAGGTCTGCAACCTGTTGAAAATATTCTTGGTGACCCGCCAAGTTTCTGATCCGTAGAGCAAAATTGACTTGACGTTTGTGTTGAAAATCCGAATTTTGTTGTTGATGCTGAGTGACGAAGATTTTCAGATTGGTTTCAGGTTGATGAATGTGTTTCTCGCCTTCCCGATTCTCGATTTGACATCCTCGTCCGTTCCTCCTGTGGTTGAGACAATGCTCCCTAGATAAGTGAAAGAAGTAACATCTTTCAAATCCCTCCCGTTGGTGGTGATTGGCACTGTATGTTGCTGCTGTTGTTGTTGGTTGGTTGGTTATTTTCATAACCTCCGTCTTGTCTATGTTCACCTGGAGTCCTGTCTTCTCTGGTTGCTTCTTCGACCAGTTTGTCGGTTTTCGCTTGTAAGTCTTCGATTTTGTGTGACATCAAACATAAATCATCCACGCGCGAAATTCAGGTCTTCTAGGTTCTTCACGTCGGTCCAGGATATCCCTGTCTTCTCGTTTCCCACTGTCTGACGCATAATCCAGTCCACCACAATTAGGAATATCATTGGTGGTAATAAGCACCCTTGTCTGACTCCTGTGTTTACTCCAAACGCTTCGCTGAGTTTTCCGTTGTGGATCACTTGACATGTGCCGTTGTCGTACAGCTGCTGAATAAGGTTGATGAATATTTGGGGTACGCCGTAGTACTCGAGTAGTTTCCAAATTACTTCGCGGTCAACGCTGTCGAAGGCCTTCTCAAAGTCTATGAAGTTGAGGTAGATATTTGATTGCCATTCCATGCTTTGTTCGATGATAATGCGTAGAGTTGCAATTTGGTCAGAACATGATTTGCCTTTCCTGAATCCAGCTTGTTCTGGTCGGAGTTCTGTATCCAGTGCGTCCTTGATTCTCTCCAGGATGATGCGACTCAGGATTTTACTTGGCGCCGACAGGAGCATGATTCCCCGCCAGTTCTTGCAGAGTCCCAGGTCGCCCTTCTTTGGTAGTTTCACCAGGTAACCTTTTCTCCAGTCAGTAGGCACCTTTCCCTCTTTCCAGACCTTTTGTAATAATGGAGTCAGCATATCTGCTGTCGTTTCTGGGTCCGCTTTGAGTGCTTCAGGGGGTATTCCATCTGGTCCAGCTGCTTTCCCAGCTTTCAGAAGCTTGATTGCATTCATGACTTCAGCTTTCGTTGGAGGATTGGTGTCAACTTGCAGTTGTGTACGTGATGTTGTTGGTATTACTGGATGGGCTGCAGGTGGTGATCGGTTCAAGAGTCCTTTGAAGTGGTCCGCCCATTGTTTAATCTGTCTTTCTTCTTTGGTAATTGGGTTCCCTTGGCTGTCTTTTATAGGTTTCACTTGTGTTGATCTCTTCCCGGATAGAGACTTGGTTATCTGATATAGTGTCCTCAGGTCCCTTTTGCCTGCTGCCTTCTCAGCTTCAGTAGCCAGGTTGTCGTAGAATTGTCTTTTGTCCTTCCTGGCACTCTTCTTCACTTCTTTGTCCAGTGCTGTGTAAGTTGAGTTCAGCGTCTCAAACTCTTGTCCATCTTTGCATTGAATCATTTTCTCTTTCACCTTTCTCCTCTCCTCTATTAGTTTCCAAGTGTCTGTTGAGAGCCATTCCTTGTCTTGTTTCTTCTTTCTTCCTAAAACCGTTGAGCACGTTTCGTTGAAAATTACCTTCAGAGAGTTCCAATGGTCTTCCACGGATGATTCCTCAGTGGTGCCACGTAGTGTTTCCTGCTTTGCTCTGACAGTTGCAGTGAAGGTGTCCTTTGTGGTTGTGTCTTTCAGTTTTTCCGTGTTGAACTTGCATTGTGGCCTGTCCCCAGGTATCCTCGAGGCTTTCAGCTTCACCTTGAAAGTCCCTTGTACTAGATAGTGGTCTGAACCCACATCTGCTCCTCTCCTCGATCTTGTGTCCAGTAGGCTCCGTCTCCACTTCCTTGAGATTGAAATGAAGTCTATCTGATTTTTGGTGTGTCCATCTGGTGAAATCCATGTCGCCTTGTGTACATCCCTGTGTTTGAACACACTGCCACCAATCACCAAATCATTGAAGGCGCAGAAGTCTGAGAAGAGTTCGCCATTTTCGTTCATTTCACTGAGGGCCTCACGACCCATGGTGAGTTCTCTTCCTCTGTTGTCTCCTCCCAGTTTCGCATTCATGTCGCCCATCAGGATTTTGATATCGCTCTTTGGGACGTTGTCCATTACTGTTTGTAGTTGACTGTAGAAATCCTCCTTCTTCTCATGTTCTGAGGCGTTTGTAGGCGCGTAGCACTGAATGATTGTAACCTTCTTTCCTTTTGAGTTGAACCTGGCTGTCATAATCCTGGAGGAGATTGGTTCCCACTGCATGAGAGCTTTAGCCGCTGTTGGTGACATCATGATGGCTACTCCCTCGGTGTGCTCGTGATTGTCCTCTGGGTGACCGGAGTAGATTATTGTCTCTCCAGTTGATAGTTGGCTCCTTCCACATCCGTTCCATCTGCTCTCGCAGATTCCCAACACTTCTATTTTATATCTCCTCATTTCTGCGGCTACCTGAGCAGCCTTCCCAGCTTCGTACATTGTACGAACATTCCACGTCCCCATCCTTAATTTCGCTTTCATCGAAAGAAGGCACATCGGCTGACTGGCTTCCCGAAGGCTTTCACCAGCCCGCGACATTTCACTTCCCCGATTCCAGCGAAAAATAAGGTCACTATTTGTAATTTTAGAATTTTGAATATATTTGTGCGTTGAAGTTTTAGTAGCAATTTGGTTAAGTTTTGGGGGTGGAGTTGCTAGCACCACGCCCCAACCCTCCCTCTTTATCCGGGCTTGGGACCGGCTAGAATACTAGTGACCTAGTAATCTAGGCGAGGTTAATAATAATAATAATTTGCTTTATTTCAAAACAGTACTTGTGATACAGAATGGAATTTTCAGCAATTTTACTACAGTATTGCATCCAGTTTGTGTACATTAACAATAAATAGAATCCTACATAGATTAAGGAAATCTCAGTTCATTATGACAACAACATATTGGGATGTCGGTAGCAAAGCCAAAATTGAACAGTGTTTGAAGGTGTTAGAAAAGTAGGTGCTGTCATATTTACTGGCGTAAGCGAGAGAAAGAAACAAAGCAGCACATAACGGAAAGAAAAAAAGAGAGAAAGAGAATAGGAAAAGAAAGAAAGAAAGAAAATGTTGTACCTATAAATGATATGAGTTGGAAAGACGAGGTCCAGTTGTACTGCTGACTATTTAATGAATTATAGGTGTCACGCCTAATGCTTTCTGTATCACACAGAACACGAGCTAAGTAGGGTATGGTTGAGTTTTTGTACCTGCTGGTGCGAGCATATAGTTTTCTATATAGGCTTCTGGTTTTACCTGATGAGGTGTGGGTTGGTTATTGAAATCTAACCGCAGCGGTGAAAACCACCGCTAAAAACTGCTTGTAATACTTAGCGCAGAGTCTTCAAATTTAATCTACTCAACTACTTCTGGGGACGCACTGTGGTGGTAGAGTATAATGCCATTATGGGTAAAATTTGTTTTGACATAATCTCACAGTGTTGTTATACAGTAATATTAACCGATGACGTTCGGAGAACAATTTATTACTCACAATCACAATGTCAAGGCACTACTCACACACACAACTTTCTACCTTCGTTTATATAGTTCCAGTACTGCTTTCCATCGCTTGATTTGATGATTGGTAGTAGCGGTATTTTCCATGTATCCGGTATGAGTGATGAGTCATTCCTATTGCATGTGTTGGGTGTACACTCGATGAACCAGGCAGGATTCAGTAATCAACCTCCCTGTCTCTTCACCTATCTATATTACTTCTTAGAATTTCAACCCTCTCCGACCATGCTAGTGTGTGGTTGTGTGTTAATGCACCCAGTGAGAGACTGTAAAATAAAACGAATAGAAGAAGGTTAACTGCACACTAGTGTTTATAAAAAACCAACGCATTCTGCTAATAGATATTTAGACTGTAATTCATCACCTCATCCGTTAACTGTTAAGACAGGCTTAGTTAAGTTAAGTGTCTAACAAACCGAGCGGTAGCACTAAGTACTACAAGGAAAGACCTAAATGATGAAATAAAACAGACAGACAGAAGAAGAAGCGTTGGTGTCAAATAACTAATTATCCTATAAAATTCATTAGGAAGATCAGTAAAGACCAAAAGCAAAATAAAAACAATGGTCAAACTAATAATGATAACATAAACAAGAGAGAATATAAGGCATCTACAGCAGTTATACCATATAAAGAGGGGACATCTGAGACACTCCCTACGTAGGATTCTGAATAACAAAGCAGGAATTAGGCTGGTGGTGGAATTTAAACCTACAAACTCACTCAGTTAGGACAAGCTGTGTAGGTTAAGTTAAGGGACCCTGTTGGTTGACCCAATTAGACAAAATAATATAATTTACAAAATATCCTGCAACGACTGTGAGTTAGGTCAACTACCTACATAGGTCAAACAAGTAAATCGAGGATACTCAGACT